GATAGTGGTGGTAGTGACGATAATGGCGGCAGTGGTAGTGGCGACGACGGTGGTGGTGGTGGTGGTGGTAGAGATAGTGGTGGTGGTAGAGGTAGCGATGAGATGATTTCAAACACTATTTTTTTTAAAGTATTTATGAGAAATAATTTTACAAATACTTTTAAAAAATCACCCAAACACACCCTTAGAGACCTATTTTTCTATTAAATTTGAAGTTTTAATATTAGTCGTTAGATTAACTTTAAAATAAAATTTAAAGAAATTTCAACCGCGAATATTAAAAGTCATTTTATTGATGTTTTAAGATTTAAATTGTAAGCTACTTTATTATATAAGTTAGTTATTGTGTGTGTCTAAAGACACAAAGTAATAAAAAATAGTAAAGAATAAACATATTTGTAAAACCCGAACATGCATGACCAATATATAATATTTGTCATAAGCATATTCACATGTGACATGCATGCGTACGATTGACGTTTAGTATTTAATTATGAGTAATGATATGAGACCTAAACTTGAACGATGTATATTTTAAATATATAGAGATAATTTTATAAAGAATGATTATAGGGAGAATAATTTTATTTAAAGTGTGAAAAATTAAATAAGCATGTTGACTTGTGATATTATTTTATGTACATTAGTGCATGTGGAATTAATTCGGGTGACAAGCATGTGACGTCAATTTATTGTTATAAAAACAAATAATAATGGAATAAAATGTATTAGTATATATAAGGATTGGTTAAGGGTCTGAGAGACGAATTTAATAGATTGTCCATAATTTGAATATGTGGATATACATGTTTATGTATAAATATGTATACAAGAAGAAAAAAATGGGTACATCCATATAATTATATATATGTATGTGTATTATAAATATGGGTAATAATATAATAAATATGTGTATGTATGTATGTTTGTATATTATATATATCAAGAACAAAGAGGGAAAGAAGAAGAAAACCAAGGGAAAAAGAAGGAAAGAAAGAAAAATAAAAAGAAGAAAAGAAGAAAAAAAAAAGTGTGGGTACAAGGTAAGAAATATGATTCATTTTCTTTCTTCTAATATGTAGAAAAATCCTATTTTTATTTAGGCATTTTGAGTGTTGCATGTGTTTTAAAGATGGTATTTTGTATGTGTTTAAATGTTGTATATTGATGCATTGAGTATGAGATTTGATTAATGTATACATCTTGATATTTATGTGGGTGTGTAAATTAAGTTAGTATTGTTGTAAACAGAAAAAAAAAAAAAAAAAAAAAACAAAATTGAAGTGTGGTGGGTACTTAGAATTTTTTTAATTGTTCTTGAATTTTCATGAAATTCATGGGTATCGAATTTTCATACACTTGTATGATTTTATTGGGTATTTATAATTAGAATTTTTGTTAATTGTTCTTGAATTTTCATGAAATTCATGAGTATGAAATTTCCATGCAATTTTATGATTTTATTATGAAATTATGTAGATTCAACTACCTTTGATTTTTATAATTTTATGAGAAATGTTTTACTTTGGATGTCATGGTTTGAGTAGGTAATCTTACTAGCTATGAATTGATTACTCTCATGTGACTCGAATTGATTATAACTACTAGTTTATTTATTTAGGTTTTTTTTTTTTGAGTAATTCATATTACTAGATGTGGATGAGTGATTGAATATGGATTGATTAAATTAAGAAATTTGTTTTGTGTAAACCAATTCGAGTAAAGCAGTATTATTTATTAATACTCGAATGAAATTTTGAATAATGGGTGTTAGGTTTAGGGACGAGCGCCGTAAAGAACGCTGCTCAAAAAGTTCTGACAGAAGAGTCATCAACACGATAAATTTTCGGCAAGATACGTATATATGCTAACATTTGGTTTTATCTACATGAAAAGGTTTATTTATTTCTATGTGACTTTCTAGTTTATAAGTTCTATTGTGAATAAATGACTTAAGTGTTCTAATATTACGATAGGAATAAGATGTCTTCGTGACAGATTATAATATTATAGTTTAGTTGTCTATGTGACAAGCAGAAAGAAAAATCAAATGGCTGAAATGATAAAGGGTTGGATGTCTATATGACATATTTTATTTGCATATTGAAGAAGTCAAAGGAACGAAAGCGAATTGTTAGACTATGATGTCTAAATGACCCAAGTGTTCAAATTTGTCATCGTGAGTGAGATAAGTTAAAGCTGATTTCGTCTAAGTGACGGAAGTTAAATTTTTAACGTAATGTGAGTTGTTCAAAAAAAATAGAATATCGAGAAATGGATACATTTTGTTAAGTTGTCTGAGTGACGATCGTATGCTGATATGATGATTTACTTGTGTAGTGTTTTGTCGCCTGGGTGGCAAGACAGTTGTTTCTGTGTGAAATCGTAGCGCAATGAAATAGAACTTCGAGAAAAGATATAGAACCACGAATATTATTGTGAGGTGTTTTGTCGCTTGGATGACAAGATGATTATTTCAGTGTGAAACCGTAGCACAATAAAATACAATTTTGAGAAAAAATATGGAAACACGAATATTAAAATTCCATAAATGAGCAAGGACATCACATTACTTTCTTTGCTTTATCTTTGAAATCATTAATGAGAACTCATTGAAATTTGCTTGTAAAGTTTTCAAGTAAACTGTACACAAGCTTGCAGTCCAGTCAAGAGTGTCGGGAAGGGCTCGTGTCAGTTTCTTATGTCTTTAAAAAAAAAAAACTTTTTGGGTTATATATGATGTCAATATTTTGGTTTTGTCATGTAAGTAACACTTGTAAATATTTTTAGGATATGTATAGTCTACGTGGTAGTAGGCCTATGTGCTGCATCCTTAAAAAAAAAAATGATCCTAAGATAAATATTTATAGGATGACTTTTCTTTAAGTGTCAGATTATAATGTTTTATTAATAACAAGATTGCCTAAATTTTATTTTTATAATAATAGTGTAGTGGGATTGGGGTGTTACAATATTTGTATTCATATCCAAAATTAAATCACAAATATAGAGGAGAGATAAATGAATTTAAGTATCAATTGTAGTGAGGGTGAGAGGTGGTGGGTGGCAATGGTGGTGGTAAGAGACGATAACAGTTGTGGTAAGTGACAATGATCGTGGGTGACGGTGGTGATGACGGGGGCAGTTAGGGGTGGTGGTGGTTGTGGTGGTGGCAATGGCGGCGGTAGTGGCAGTGGGGGTGGGCGTGGCGATGGTGGTGGCGACGGCAGCTGCGACGGTGGTGGTGACAACGACGATGGTGGTGACGGTGGTGGTAGTGGCAGCGGCGGTGTGGTTGGTAGAGTAGCGGTGGGGCGATTTCAAACGCTATTTTTTTAAAAATATTTATGAGAAATAATTTCTAAAAATACTTTTAAAAAGTCACTCTAAACACACTCTTAGAGCCCTATTTTTTCTATTATATTTAGGGTGTTAATATTAGGTGTTAGATTAACTTTAAAGTAAAATTTATTTAAAGTAAAATTTATAGCGAACTCAACTGCGAATAACAAAAATCATTTTGTTTATCTTTTGAGATTTGAATTGTAAACTACTTTATTATGTAGACTAATTATTGTTTGTGTTTGAAGACACATAGTAATAAAAAATGGTAAACAATAAACATATTTATATTTATATGCAAAATTAAATCACAAATATAGATGAGAGATAAATGAATTTAAACATCGGTTGTAATGCGGGGTGAGAAATGGTGGACGACAGTAATGGTGGTAGGAGATGGTGATGATTGTGGTGAGTGACAATAATTGTGGTGGCGACGATGGCAGCCATGATGGTGGCGGCGGTGGTGGTGGCGATGATGGTGGCGGCAGTAGCGGTGGCGGTGGTAATGATAGTGGTGGAACGGTTTTAAACACTATTTTTTTAAAATTATTTATGTGAAATAATATATTTTTAAAAAGTCACTTTAAACACACTTAAAGAGTCTTATTTTTTCTATTAAATTTAGAGTGTTAATATTAATTGTTAGATGAACTTTTAAATAAAATTTAAAGCGATCTGAACCACGAAAAGAAAAAATTATTTTGTTTATTTTTAGAGATTTGAATTATAAACTACTTTATTATGTATACTAGTTATTGCTTGTGTCTGAAGGCACAAAGTAATAAAAAATGGTAACCAATAAATATATTTGTATTTATATCCAAAATCAAATAACAAATATAGAGAAAAAATAAATGAATTTAAGCATTGGTTTGTTGTGGGAGTGAGAAGTGGTGAACGACAGTGGTGATGGTGGGAGACGGTGATGGTTGTAGTGGGAGGAATTGATCGTGGTGGCAGCGGCGGTAACGACAGCGGTGGTATCGGCAATGGTGGTGGTAGCGGTGACGGTGGTGGTGGTGTTGGTGTTGGTGGTGGCGGCAGCGGTGATGGTGGTGATGGCGGTGGCAGTGGCGGCGATAGCAGTGGCGGTGGCGGTTGTGATGGTGGTGGTGGTGGCGGTAGCGGTGGTAATAGAGATAGTGGTAGTGGTAGAAGTTGTGGTAGTGGTGAGATAGTTTCAAACACAATTTTTTTTTTTGATATATTTATGAATAATAATTTATAGAAGTATTTTTAAATAGTCACTCCAAAGACACCCTCAAGAGTTTATTTTTTTCATTAAATTTAAGGTGTTAATATTAGTTGTTAGATTAACTTTAAAGTAAAATTTAAAACAATTTTAACCGTGAATAGTAAAAATTATTTTATTTATTTTTGGAGATTTAAATTGTAAGTTACTTTATTATATAGATATTCAATATTTCGGAGATTAAAATAATATAATTAAAATATTAGAGATCAAAATGAGACAAATTTCGTAGAGACTTCTTATGCAATGAACCCAAAAATGAAAAAAAAAAAAATCGTTATAACAAAACGTTTGTCTTCGTCACAAACAACAAAAGTTTTCGTGGAAAAACCATCCTCTCAACTGCGTGCGATTAATCTCCTACAATTAATATAGTTCCATTTAATAACTCCACCACAGCAACAGAACACCAAAAACCCAATCTGTCAGTTCAGATACATAACCAAATCCATGGATTCTCAAAGTTTCGTGCCTGTTCAGTTCACTGACCTCAGGGACAACGTTAATGACAAGAGTCCCCCTCTCGGTGCCATATTTTTGTTCTTAATTTTCTTCTTGTCCACCATTTTTCTCTACTTTCTCTACCTATGCACCTACCGACGCCAATCACCCACCGCCAACCTGACTGCGCTGCCGGATCGGACTCGGTCATCCTTGGGGCTCGACCCAGCCACCATCAGTGGCTTGCCAATTGTTTCATATGGGTCAAGTATGAAAAAGATCAATTCTGGCCAAGAATCAGAGTGCTCTATTTGTCTGGGTATGTTTCAGGAGGGAGAGAGAGTGAAGGTGATGCCTCTGTGTCACCATGGTTTTCATTCTGAGTGTGTTGACAAGTGGCTAAGGACTCGGTCGAGCTGTCCTCTTTGCAGAGCGTCTATCCATCGACTTGAATCTGAGTCCTGAGATGCCATGAACTTTGTCATGGAAGGGCATATGCATTTCCAAATTCCAATTTGAGGGGGGGGGGGGGGAGTTCATATATGTTTTGTAAACATGTTTTTTTTGGGTAAATTTTTGTAAACATGTTCCTTTGTTGATGTCTTATGAGTTTGAAGGGTGGTTCAAGAAATTCTAGAGTTTGGGGAAAAAATTTCAACCTCTTAATTATAGATGATGAGGAGTTTGGGGAAACATGAACTGAGGTTTCTGTTGCCTGCAAAAGGAACAAACTGTTTGAGATTGAGAGTTGATCGGTCAGAAATATTTCGGTGCCTACGTTAGTATGAATTTTCAAAAATAGATTAGGCAATAATGTAAAGGGATGGGATAAAGTATATAATTACATTTCATATAATCCCTATGCCGTAGATATTGAGACTTGATGGTGGTCCATACGAATTTACTTTTAATACAATTTTTTTTTTTTTGAAATAAATTATGCTCGAACAATTTGAAGATCATTTTGAATTAAGAAGAAACTGAGGTTCATCCAAGGAATTCTCTGTGAGCCAACAGATCCTAATGATCCTATAATAGATTCATGGCTTGAATGTAACGACATGGTGTCACTTGGCTTCAAAATGCAATGTCTCTGGAGATAAAAAAAAAATATGTTGTTTATGTGGAGACTGCAGATGAACTTTGGATTGAGCTTTGAGCAGAGGTTTGCTCAGAATAATGGTCCACGAATATATGAGCTTAAGCAGTCGATTCATGTTCTTTCTCAAGAAAAAGACATTGTGAGCTCGTTTGGTTGATGTATAGTAAAAGAAAGGATTATATTAATTAATACCGACTAATTTTGTATAAGCGCATAAAATATAAGATCAAATATCAGATAACTTAACTCATTATAATCTAGTGTTCATTAAGATACCGGATAAGGGTGATATAATAGAGACTTAATTACATATTGTTTTTGTTTTTTTGGGGGGTAAAATAGTAAATTTATAACTTAATACACTTGAATTAGACTATAATACCAGGTGGTAGTATAAATGACTCAATTGTTCGGATATAGTATATCATTTGGATAAGCATTGGTAATGTCACCTATGATAAAAACAATCACCATACCAGCTCCTTTTTAAAGTCAAACCAGCTAACTCTTATCTTAGAGTCTTTGGGTCCTTATGCTATGCTTCTACTTTAAAATAGAACATACACAAGTTTGATCCTAGAGCAAGAAAATGTGTTTTGTTGGATTACCCATTTGGGGTCATAGGTTATAAGCTGATGAACCTAGAAAGTTATTTTGTTTTTCACTCAAGAGATGTTATTTTCTATGAAAATATTTTCCTTTCAAAGTGGACAGTCCTAACTCTGCCTCACAGAAAGACTATCATATTCCTTCACTTTCACCAATCAAACCTTGTCAACCTTTTCCCATCCTTATCTCTATAGAAATTGCACATGTTGCAGATTCAAATTGCTCAAATTTCTCTAAAAGTCCTAGCAATCTTTTCACCTATCAATCCACAGTTCACTCGAAGAAATTTCTCCCTATTTCATTCACACACTGACAAGCTCAATGACACCTCTATTTCTATAGATTCACCTGCAGAGAATCAACGTGTTCTTCCCTCTCATAGACCCAACAGATTGAAGAAGAAACCTGAGTATCTCAAAGACTACTATTGTTTGCAAGCCTCAATGCCTCATTCTTCCCCAGCAGCTACCACAGTTCTTAAACAACCAGGTCATCCTTATCTCTTATCTTCTTTTGTAACGTATACCAAGCTTTCAAATGAGTATACAACTTTTGCTACATCCATTTTGAATCCAACACATACCATCAAGTAGCCAAGTCTCCAGAATGGCATAGGACTATGGATGCCAAAATTGCTATTTTATATCACAATAATACCTAGGAAATTACTGATTTGCCAGCTAGAAAGAAATCTTGACTTAAAGTGGGTGTACAAAGTCAAATACAACCCAGATGGAATTGTGGAGAGGTACAAAGCTAGACTAGTTGCAAGGGGTTGTAGCTAACAAGAAGGTTTAGATTACCGCGAGACATTTATCTTATTGTGAAGCTTGGAACAGTTATATTTTTACTTGCAATGACAACAATCAAGGGATGGTTGTTACATCAGTTTGATGTAAACATTGCCTTTTTTGCATGGAGAACTGGAGGAAGAGGTGTATATGCATTTACCCTCTGGATATCTTAATAAAGAACAGGACAAAGTTTGTAAGTTTGAGAAAAGTTTATATGGTCTCAAACAAGCTTCAAGATAGTGGTATTCCAAATTTTCTTCATCTTTGATTGACTAAGGATTTGCCAAATTCCATGTGGATTATAGTCTCTTCATCAAGAGGACAGAGACTTCTTTCATGGATTTATTAGTCTATGTTGATGACATTATTGTGGCCTCAAATGTTCATGCTGTTTCAAAGCTCAAAGAGTTTTTAAACTGTCAGTTTAAGATCAAGGACTTAGTATCCCTTAAGTATTTTCTTGGCTGGGAGGTGGCCAGAATTTCTGATGGAATTCAAATCTGTTAAAGAAAATATGCACTGAACATTCTGATTGATTTTGGGTTAATTGGATGTAAGCCTGGTGCCCATGGAACAGAATCTCAAGCTCTCAAAGGATGATGGGGATCTCCTTACTCTTTTTTTTTTTAGGGGGGGGAAGGGAAGGGGGAGGGAGATTTGAATCCTTGATCTAAAGAAAGAAAAAACTTTTACAAGATAAGGAGTACTATTGGACCAAAGGCCCATTGGTGGGATCTCCTTACTGACCCAGCTCATTATAGAAGAATTGTTGGGAGACTTCTCTACCTAACCATTACTAGACCAGATATATCTTATTCAGTTAACTTGTTAAGCCAATTCTTGGCTACACCTTGTGTGACTCATCTTATTGCTACATACAAGATACTCAACTATATTTAGAGGTCTCCAGCAGCTCAAGGCCTTTTTTTTTTCCTTCACCTTCACCCTTACAACTCACGGCTTATTGTGATTCAAACTAGGCATTGTGTCTTGATACACAACTGGAAATTGCATTTTTCTTGGGAAGTTTCTTGTTTTGTGGAAGTCCAAGAAGCATAGCACAGTGTCCAGAAGTTCAGCTGAAGATGAGTACTACTCGATAGCTGCAGCTTGTTGTAAGCTCACTTGGATCAAGTATTTGCTTGATGATCTCTGTATTTCACATGATCAATATGCAATTCTATATTGTGATAATCAATCAGCATTCCACATCACATCCAATCATGTTTTCCATGAGAGAACAAAGTACATAGAATTGGACTGTCATCTAATTCGAGAGAAAATTCAAGAAGGAATAATCTCCACTACATACATACCTTCAGAGTCACAACTAGCAGATATCTTTACCAAGGCCTTACCATCATCTTTATTTCATTCTCTTCTTCTCAAGATGAGAATATGTGATATATACTCTCCATCTTTGGGGGGAGTATCGAAGGTTGAAGCTCCAGCAAGGCTAATGCAGCTCCAACACAGCTCCAACATGGCAGCCAACTCAGCTATGCAAATCAGCAGTAGAGACCATGTGCACGAGGATTGCAGATATCTAATATCACATGGGTAGTTGGAAATTAGTTAGGAAGGTTTCTTTTTTGTATATAGCATACAAATTTTTAGCTTTTGGTGTGAAGTTTCTTGGACGACACACTTGTATTTTTCTTTGGTTTTATAGGGGAGAGTGTGTGTTTAATTCTAGCTTTGGTTTTGTTTTTTTACACTGGGGAGAGAGAGAGAAGGGGATGTATAGTTAATTAACGGTTGTACTAGACGGGTGTAAAATTGGACAATATTTGTTACATCTAAACACTCAAGTAAATTGACTATGTTTCAGGTGTACCATTAATAAGATGATAATCCAAACCACAATTTTACTATCTAATTATCTATTCTCAAAGTTGTTCACGTGCAACGCACGTGTGTAAACACTAATATATGTAAGTTACAACTATAATTAGGAAAAATTCCAAAGGCACGCTCCGACAATTGACTCATTATTCTCGAACTTGGTGGGTCTTTCCATATATTGAATATGAGCCACCTATTTTAGCAGTTTTAATTGAAAACGAATGATTGCAGCATTGTTAAATTTGAAGCGGTGAACTCTTTTCCTTTATGTGTTACTTTCAGTTTCTACTTTTAACAAAGGGTAATGCTATTATGCTAGAATGATGAAAATATTAGGATTAAAAAAAATAAATAATATGGCACCGATATCCATATAAAACATGTAAACAACCCAATTACGTTACCTTTGAGCCGCAGCACTTTGAGAGTCGAACCTCTCTTTCTTAATGTCTCAGATTGACCAGGAAAAAAGAGCCAAGCTGCACATGACTCATGTTCAAAACGAAAACCAGTCATATAAGCCAGTAATGGGCTAATCTAAGTTTGGTTGCAGACCCGATTGGAACTAAGAATGACTAGATTAGACTGAACAACCCATTAGTGGGCTTATCTCAGTTTGTTGTAGGAACAGATGACAGGACTCGAAAGAAAAGGGGAAAATTGTAATTGTAAAAAACGTACACAACTTTTAATGTTAGGTCATTAAATCTTTTTTTTAGAATTTAATTATGTCTAAGTACACAATTTAAATTTTTATGATTTTTCTTGATATATTTATCCTCCCTTAAATCATGTATTATTTATTATGCAGTTAAGATAATTTTTGATTTTATTTTATTGTATTAAAGATTTCCTAATCTTACGGCAGATCTAGGAAATCCGTTTATTGTGAGTACATCAAGTACTTTTGAATTTTAAACTTTTTCACGTTGGTTCTCTTTGTCTTCTTCAAAACATAAGTCATTATTTATTGGAAAAACTCAAACATAACATTAGAAAAATTCTCCAAAGCCATTATCAAGTTTGAATTATTCATTCATTACATTTTTGTTTTTCGTTCATAGTAATGCTAATTATTCCATTTTTTTTTCATAGTTCTTTAGTTGATCCAAGAGCACCATAATGTATGGTGTCTTTTTGTATCTTTCGTTCCTTTGTTTTTCTTAGTTTTTTTGTTTTCATGGTTTCCCACCCATGCGCAAACATTATGTACGGGATGTTTTTTTTCCTAGTTCTCTTTTTTGATATAAGAATACCAGATGTTAGATGGTGTTTCCAGTTTGAGTAATGGTTTTCTTCCAGTTTATTTTTTCCAGTTTGTAATATGAATTTTTTTAGAAGAATCAATTATAGGCAGTAAATATTTCATGTTTTTATACTGTATCATTAAATCTATTTCTTATCTTAATGTAAGTTCTTTCGTGTTTGTAACTATGTTTTTTGTTTTAATTTTTACTAAATGAAAGGTGTTGCAATGGAAGAAACGATGATACTTTTATGTACATACAGTACTGATATTATCTGTTAATTCAGATATATCACAAGTTATACATTAAGTTTGTGAAATTTTGCATGTATTGTTAAATTTGCCGATGCGATTGTCACATCGTATAAAATAAAGGGTAAATTGTTAAATTTACCCTTTATTTTATGCGGAAGTTCCACTTTCATAGCTTACTTTGTACTTCCATGCAGTGACCGGCTAGTGTATGTATCCATGGGCATGGCCACATTTCTTGCCTTGAATTGCTTCTAATGGAAACACACCAAACCAAGGAAATCACTAGCCTTGTGTTGGAATTACTCCAATATTATTATGATAAGAAAATCGCTCAGATGTCATTTTGTTTGAATCCAGAGAACTAGAAATAAAATAGAAGGAAGTAAAGGAAGATACGAACACTCAAAGAAAAAATAATTTTCATACAAGTTGATTTCAATCACACACTTAACTTGGACTCTTTATCTTATACACTAGAACATTTATCATATTTATATAGGTCTAAGCCATAACTCATAGCATTACTGTGACACCCCATAATCCGGCGTTTGTAATTATCCGATTGATTATCTATCGACCCGTGTAATACTGGTGGATATCGTGTAATTTGATATCACACCGTTATGCCTCATTTCTCGGGATCTATAACTTAACAAAATTTGGGCAGAGTCTCCTTTGTACGAAGAGCTCTACTCAAAACGCAACCTGTACAATATTGACCACACCGGGTCTATCTATCCATTCACAATTGTATAGTCTCGAATACTACCATAATCATTATCAGTACATACATTTATTCGTAAAAGAATAAATGTCTCAAAAGAGTCTCATATACATGTCAAATGTTTGTTACAAAAATTATACAAGGCTAAAAGTAAATATAAATAAGGGACTACAATGTCAAAATAAAAGTCACAGACCAGCTCTGTCGTCAAAGCGGGCCCATGGCCTCGCCTTCGGTAGACGCCTGTACGATACCTGAAAAATGTTCCCATAAAGGGTGAGCCAACGCTCAATAGGGTAACTCGTATAGAGAATACCTCTCAACCTAAATACATATGGAATGTCACATGCAATAATCATTTGATACATTCATTCAAATATGTCTATTATGATTGAATGTTATAAATCATGTCATGCCATGAGATGAGACTCACGCAAGCAATACTAACCCCGAGCCCCATCTTGAGCTCCCATAACACATGCAATGTCATGCGTATGTATCCGAGCATTCCAAGCCCACATCATTGGTGTTATGTACACTCAATGACTAATTAATTCATTTTCTTGTATTTTTGTGGGGAGGTGATTTATGGTATTACACCAATGGGACACCAACCATCAACGGATCTTCAGGACATCCCACCTACGGCTCCGTTTCCACCGTTACACTTTTCTGAAATTTCACCGCCGGAAAGTGTATAAATCAAGTAAGCGGGTCTTGCACCCGAGGGAGAATCTAGCCCTTCTTGCTGTCCCCAACACATTTATCCATTTAATTTCCCGTGCGACTCAACCGAACCTTGATGCGACTTTTTCGAGTCCACGTTCAAACACCTACATGGTGATTGATTTCATACCATGAATACACTCCCACCCATGTCAATGCATATGAATGTAGTGCAACTCATGCATAATGAAATACAATGTCTATTACATAATGAATACAATATAATGACATTTTAACACGATCTCAAACATATTATGTAAGATAATTAACTCAACTAACATACTTGTATTCACCTAGGCATTTAATCAAACACCTAAAGAGTACATCAATTTACACAACTAGCATGCTATGACTTGCAACATGACAACATGTTTAACATAAGCACAAGTCCACCAAAATAATCATATGTTAAATAATCATTTAACATATATATATTATTTCACAATCATATAACAAGTTAATAATTTTATTAAACTTGATTTGCCATTAAAATATAAAGTAATGCTAACATATAATTAACATGCTTTAAACTACTAACATTAACTTACATCAAGTTAATCACAATAGAATTTTATTAATCACAAGATTAATTATAAATTATATATTTGACCCACTAGTCACACTAGTCAAGACCTAACATGTGATATACACCCATAATCTACTCATTCTATATGTCATATTTTAAGTTGAAATTAAATATAAATAGGGGAAATCCTACCTCTCGTAGCGTGAGACCACTAGAACGTCAAGTAAGCCTAAATTTAGCTTCTTAAGTTTTAGGCCTAGATTATCGACTTTGATATTCCTTCGGAGAAAAATATGATATTTGGTGTGGTTGCGTAGCTCTCGCTAAGTAGAGCAACTTTAGTTCTTGGCCCGAAGCGATTAAACGGTTAAATTTTCGTAGATCTGAGAAGGAAGAAAAGAGAAAAAAATGAAAAACTCATTTTTTTTTTTCAAACTCACACTGTCTCGCCGGCTGGAGAAGAAAATAAAAAGTAGAAGACAAAGTCTTCCACTTATATATATATATAGTATAAATTTATTATTATTATTTTATTTTGAAATTTACGTTTTTGACCCATAATTTAACAATTAATTATTATTTTATCCCTTTTATTAGAATTTTTAATAATAATAATAATAATAAATTTTTTTTTTTTCGGGTTTTACAATTACATTTGTCCACCACTAACTCATGTAACTCCTAACATACAAAGACACCACTATTACTCTTGTCTTCCACTGCTTATATATTCCTTAGGCACTTACACATACCTAATTAACACACCTTAATAATATAATAAACTCTAAAACAAGTTTATTATCCAACACCATGCTTCCCCAATTCACTTGATCAACACTAACGTCTGCGAATAGGATTCCTGGAGGGTTTTCTTCTTCCTTGGTCCTGCCTATGGCAGATCTTCAAAACGACGTTGTCCACGTACTTGTAATACCATCTTCTCCATCTTTTACAAAACAAGAGAGGTCCAATTACAATTGCTAAGCCCACAATGAATCCACATTCAACAGTTATCCAATTCCAGTTAACCTCAGTATCAGGATACGAATGTCGGCCCTCAAATGTTTGTATCAGTCCATCACCAGGGCACTTTTTGACCAATGGAAGCCCGCATAATGCATTGTTTCCCTCAAAGGAAGTTTCCGCAAAAGTTTGAAATTGGTTGCCTGTTGGGATTTTCCCAACCAGTTGATTGTATGACAGGTTCAAGAATGAAAGGAATGTAATACTTGTAAGCTCCACTGGAATCACCCCACTTAGCTGATTCACTGACAGGTCTAGTGATTCGAGTTGTGCCAAGTTTCCAATTGAAGTTGGGATTGTGCCCGTGAGAGCGTTATGTGATAAGTTAAGAACGTGAAGTAATTTGAGATCTCCAAGTGTTTCTGGTATATACCCTTCAAATCTGTTGTTTGAGAAATCAATGGAAATGAATACCTTCAGAATTTTCACCAGCTCCATCTCCAGCCCTTTGTTGGTAACTTTTACTGTATCCTGATAATAGAAGTCATTCAATTCTAGGAATTCAAAACGCAGGAGATTGTACTTTGAACGCACAGCATCCACGTCACTGATCATGGCTTTCCAACTTACGAAGTATTCTGTGGGCAGATCACCGGTAAAATAGTTGGAGGCAATGTCGATGATTTGAAGATTTGGCCAGCTGTGATTTTCCCCTGGGCACCTAATACCTCCATAGAACATGTTGGATCGCAAAACAAGGACATGCAAATTAGAAGAGTTCTTCAAAAAGCATGGAAACTTATCATTAATCAGGTTGTTCCCAAGGTTTAAGACCTCTAACATTGAGCAATTAGCCAGAGATTCTGGAACCTTCCCTCCCAGCAAATTCCCACCCAGATCTAGAGTTTGTAAACCACAATTAGTCTGAAATGTACCAGAAATATCGCCTTCGAGATTGTTGTTCCCCAGATTCAGTACCCCAAGGCTAGGGGTTCCACCCAATTCAATCAAACATGAGGGTATGGAGCCAATCAACCTATTTCTAGACAAATCAAGAACTTGGAGGAAGCTAGCATTGCATATGGATTCAGGGATGGTTCCGGTGAGGTTATTGCTTGAAACAGAGAAGAAGTAAGCACTGCCGAGGTTATATCCAATGTCAGCTGCAATTGAATGGCTGAAATTATTGCTAGAGTAATCCACATAGATAGCCTCTAGTGGCAGCATCGGGATTTCCCCCTGGAGGTGGTTGAAGTGTAGATCAAGCACACTGAGGAAAGGAAAAATAAAAAAAGGTTCTTGCAAACCCACGAGGAGGTTATGAGAAAGATTCAAATAACGGAGGGTTCCATTGCCGACTTTCCAGATCCAGTTTGGTATTTCCCCGCCAATTTGGTTGTCTGAGAGATCTAAGTGGAACAGTTGTGATTGGTTACTTAGGCAAGGAAAACTTTGCAGGTTGCAAGAAGCCAAGTTCAAACTGGTGATCCGAGACAAGGGAGAAAAGCTAGAATTAGTGCCTCTTGCATCAATTGACAAACTGTTGTATGAAAGATCGATGGTGGCAAGATTGTTGAGCCTGTAAATCATTTCAAGCTGTATAGTGCCGTTGAAATTGTTGGATGACAGTGATAGGATATTAAGCCTTTTGAGTTCAAAGAGAGACTCGGGAATGGCTCCTCCTAAATTGTTGCTACTCAAATCAAGTGTATCCAACTTTGACAAGGATGCATTGGGAAACTCTGGAAGTAGACCATCAAAATGGTTGTTTGAAAGCTGAAGTTTCTGCAACGATGGGAGAGCAAACAGAAATGATGGAATACTCCCACTGAACGAATTGAATCACAAATCAATATATACAAGATTGAGAAGACCCTCTAAGTGAATGGAAGTAATCGATCCCACTAAATTGTTACGAGAGAGGTCTATATGGGTGAGATTCCTAGACTTCTGAAATGATGGGATTGGACCCATAAACATGTTGGATGACAAGTCCAAATAAAGAAGCCGAGTGAGGTTTGCCATCAAATAAGGCAATGGTCCACTGAAACTGCAATTCGATAGCTTTATCTCGGACAACATCCCAAGGTTACCAACAGAAGTTGGTAGTGCTCCTGAAAAGTTGGTGTAGCTAAGATTCAGGGTCTGTAGAGATCCATTCTGGGGAAATTCTTGCAAAGTTCCTTGAAGTAATGTATTATAAGACAAGTCAAGCGTCTGTAGAGTTGGTACCTGCAATATACTTGCAGGGAAATTTCCGTACAGATTACAAAAACCGAGATTCAAGGCTGTCAAATTCAAGAAATTCGCAAGGAATTCTGGAACAGGAGCATTTAGATTGTTATGATTCAGACGGATCACCGAAAGGGACTGAATCTTTGCAAGGGAAGAATGAATAGAGCCTGAAAGATAACAATTTGACAAGCTCAAGACTCTCAAATTAAGTAATGACGAAGACAAGGCCTGGCACCACTCATTTCCCTGTGCTGATAGGTTAACGCCATCAAGATGAAGTTCAATAAGCTCTGTGAGATTTTGAACAAACATCTTCAAATTTGGCATCTCAAGTTTCAGGGAAGAAGGTCCTTCAAAGTAAAGGGTGGATAAATCAAGAGTAACCAACCTTTTCAATTGAGAAATCGATGGAACTTGCCCGGCAAAACTAGTGCTTGATAGATTCAGATACGTCAAACTGGTGAGATTGTTGAACCCGGGTGGTAATTGTGCGTAGTTGAAAAAGTTGTTAGCCAAATTCAGGCTCTGAAGAAATTGAAGACTAAAAAGACAGGTGATATTTTCACTTCCGGCAGTGATTGATTCATTGTTCAGGTCCAGACTGATAACATGGCCTGCTTTGTCGCATTGCACACCATTCCAGTGGCAACAATCTGTGCTTCGGTTCCAGTATAACAGCTTCATGGAATTTGCTCGATCGAATTGGACACTGTTTCTTAATTGGACTAGCAAAGTTCTCTGGTCCTCCAGGCATCGACTGTGTACTAGAATAATAAAATCAATGCATAATATGGAGAATATAGCGATCAAGAGTAACCCGGAGAAGAAAGAAATTCTCATTTTGTTGGTGATTCTGAGGGGACAGTGAAATTGAAGTGAAGAGCTGTCCATGGGATTTGTGGTTTTAAAGATGCCACTGCCAAGACCCCACGGACTCGACTTCTTGGCTTGTGATCTTGACCCAATTAACACTTCATACGGACACGTTCAAACATTCAAAGGAAGAATAAAAATAACCCAAAAAGTCTCATATAAACCAAAGAAAATGTCGAGGGGCCCAATTTCTCCAGTCATTTCTTTGACCCTTGCTAGTATTTTTATCAAATGATAGATGAGTTTTGAGACTTCTGCAATAGAGTAGGAAAAATTAATTAACATCAAAAAAGGCGACTACCATGTTCTAAAGTCGAGCAAAATATGTTTCTCCTAGTAGCACGACTTAGGAAATAGATTAGGTTCATCGGTGCACACCAAAAAAAAAAAAAAAAAATTAAAAATAACAATTTCCAAAATTAACTCTTTGGATTTCCTGCCTTATGATCTGCTGTTGTAAACCATCGTTTTTCCGTTGAATTAATTTCTCTCTTTGTACTTACTGCCACCTGCAAACTAAACTTGATGCACATAATCACAAATTTTGTTCAAACCAAAATGTTATGAGGGTAGAAGATTTGAACTCTAAATGAATGATTTTAATCATTATCAATGAACCGACCAAATCGGTTGAAGGGATTACATTACTTTGTATCACTAATATTATTGGAACATAGTTTAGGGAAATAATTTGGGAAAATAATGTGTTGTGACTATTGAATTGATAATAAATTGTGTTTAATATTGAGACCCACTAATAATCTAAAGACCACAATTATTATGGCCCCAAATTATGCCGTCAAATAATATTGCTCATTTTGTAGGAACCGGTCCAATAATACATGAGGAAAATTTTTTAAATGGGCCCCCAAAATTATTTTTAGATGAATAATTATTTAAATTTTATTTTTAGATATTTAAATTTTTATGTTTTAGTAGGTATATTTAAGGTAAAAAATAACTTGTAAAACAAGCACATTATGTTTAAATTAAAATTAACTTAACTCAAAAAATTATAGTTCAAGAAAATATTACTATATAAATTGGTAGAGTTATTACAAATTCAGATAAAATAAGAGCGTAGAATCTTATAATTTTTTATACAAGAATATGATACGATTTTTTCTTTTTTAATGTACATACAGTTATGATTTAAAGAATATTATTTTTAAAATCTTTTTGATCAGTTTATGAAATATCTTAAATTTTTAGTTTTTTAAAAAATTTACTAATACAATTTTATAAAACATACGAAAACTGGGGCCTACGCAAGTGGAGGCCAGCCGACTACCTCACTTGCCTGGGGGTTGGGCTGGGTATGCGCGTATATTTGCCCTTCTGAATCACTTTGGGAGCATGGCAGGAAGGATCCACGTTCTACAATATGCGAACTCCATTGTGTCTGCTTTAACAATTATAACCACAAGGCATGTTGTTTAAATTGACTATAGTGTAATACGTGAAGCCCAAACCGATTTGTTGTGCAATGTAATTAGGGGAAGAGTAATATTATTTGGACATAAAAATTTGACCTAATTTGTTGTTATAATGATGTGGCTTCAATAGAACCAATGGATCAACACCAAGTTCTAATGTTTGATGGGCTCCACAGTCAATTCAAAGGTCATAGTGAATTAGGTTAACAAATTAAGTTTTAATAACATTGTTCATAAGGGAAATTAGAAGGGATATACCAAATTAAATTTAATTATAAAAAAGTATACATAAAAAAATATTGAGTAATTAAGTCTTTAATTTAGATACTTATTTGTATTTAAATACATTATTTGAATTTTATTGATTTTTTTGTAACATTTTTGTCTTCCATTGATCCATGTGTATTTTTTTTTTTTGAAAGTAATTTTGTTTTCAAATTATATTTAATACACATTGATTCATGAGTATTTTTTTTTTGTTGAAAATGGTTTTGTTTTCAAATAATACATGAGGAAAATTTTTTAAATGGGCCCCCAGAGGTCATAGTGAATTAAGTTAACAAATTAAGTTTCAATAACATTACTCATAAGGGAAATTAGAAGGGATATACCAAATTAAATTTAATTATAAAAAAGTATACAGAAAAAAATATTGAGTAATTAAGTCTTTTATTTAGATTCTTATTTGTATTTAGATACATTATTTAAATTTTATTGATTTTTTTGTGATATTTTTGTCTTCCATTGATCCATGCGTATTTTTTTTTGTAAAGTAATTTTGTTTTCAAATTATATTTAATACACTTTGATTCATGAGTTTTTTTTTTTGTTGAAAATGGTTTTGTTTTCTAATTATATTAATATTATAATAGTGTAACAATAACAGTGTAACAAGTCATTTACATAAAATATTATACTATTACATTTTGTTAAACATATATTTTCATATAATTCTATTCAAAAGTGTTTATCTCTGTTTTAAATTTGTTACCACATGCACAAAAGTATTGAACACTATTTTTGTTACAGTATATTGTTACACTGTTTTTGTTACGATTTATTTGTTATATTGTTTTTGTTACACTATAATGGAGTTCGAATATTAACAAATTTTGGAATTCAAACAAGTGATATATTTTAAAATAAACGGAATATTAAAATTCTCCTATAAAACTAGTGGTAGTAAATATTTAATGCATAAATATAATTTAAAAATAAAACTACTTTCCAAAAAAAATATGCATGAATCAAGATGAATTAAAGATAAGAGATTTTGAATTCAATAACCCTAAATTTCAGTACTTAATAAATGTCTTGTTAAAATTTTTAGAAAAGTTTACAAAATTGGCATTTTTGTCTTTGTATTTCAGTTGTGTATTTTTTTTCAAAATATTTTGTTCTATGTATTTTTTTATAACTATGTCTAATTTAGTGTACTGACTTCCCAAAGACCCATGTAATGATGGATGGAACAATCTATTGGTATAAACTTCCAATATATTGTTAATTTCAACTAATAGCTCAAGTCTACAAAGCTTACAAAGCCAAATATTTTCCTCAATCTTCTATTATGGATGCGCAACATAATTGCAACAAAGGCTTATATCAAGGCTAGCATAAGATAGAGAGTTGGAAATTGAGCGAATGTTCGAGTAAAATCAAACAATTGGATCCCTAGACCAAGTGCATTCAAAGTAATTTCTCGTCTTCATAATATGGATGACAATATCCGAATAAGCTCCCTAATAGATATTGCTTCTGGTAGATGGAATGTTCCTTTACTAAATAACCTTTTTCTAAGTTTTGAGATGGACGACATCCTTGCCATTCTATTATGCTCATAATTCCCTAAAGACTGCCAAGTGTGGAATTATACCAATTTAGGTCATTTCTCAATAAAAAGTATGTATCATTTGATCATGGATAACAAACACAACGAAGGAGCCAGTAATAGTGGAACACTCTCGGAAGGAAATTTCATTTGGAATTTGAATATCCCAAACAAAGTTAAATATTTTATCTGGAGAGTTTTTCATTACATCTTACCAACGTGCAATAATCTTATAAGGAAAAGACCCTTTTGTTAATGCTAAATTAGTGGGTGTGGGAGTGGTTGCAAGAAATTGCAACGAAGATTTTGTAGCAGGATGATATTATAAAAATATAATATCAACTTTGTCCAATTGATTATGATATTAAATTCTAGACTCACTTGTGTGAGACCTGGAAATGTATTGCATGACATTTTAATACATGTTTAGGCTTATTGTGTAATTTTTTATAATTACTTATGGGGATTAAATTGCACTTTTTGGAATAACAAGGAGCTACGTAATAATATAAATAATAAGTTCTAAGGTTGAATTGTATGATGGTTGTTAGATCATGAATTTGTAATTGATTAATTTCGTGGAATCTATTGTAAAATTTCAACCATTTTTCATGGTCATTATGTTATCAAGTTTAAAATTCGAAAATGTTATTGAATGGAGGAGATTATGCTTTAAAGTTACATCATTCAACATTCGTACGCATTTTCATACTTAGGACAAAAGTAATGACCTAAACACTTAAGATGAACCTTTAGTTATTTTAATTTAGATTGATTAAGATAAAAATGAAATTGGAAGTGATCCAATTCTAACTCACTCCTAAGTGATTTTAAAAGAAAAATTATTTTTAACCATTTATTACTTTTAAAAATATAATTTAAATCACAATAAAATCTCTTTTTGAACAACATTTTTTAGTGTTCAAGAGAATATATTTTTTGTATTAGCACAAGGTTCATTCTATGAGATCGTTCGAGCGGTCTCTATGATCACTCGAGCGGTCATAGTCTTTGACTAGTTTAAGACATTGTTTTTCATTCGTGTCAACTATCCTATGATCACCCACCCATCGATCGGGTGGTTTATTCACGAATTTGACGCTACGGGTTACAGGAAATGATTGCTCCTGCAAACAACAGTCATTCGCAAATTTGACGCAATGGCCATTCACAAATATATTTGAAGACCAAATGAGAAAGTACGTTGTGGGACCAAGCATTTAATGTTATGCAAGGATATGAGAACAAGTTATAGGAAATGATTGCTCCCACAAACAAGTCACATCCAAGCATGCCTTGAATCTTAGAAAATTCGGGTAAAGGCATGGTCTTTGAGTTCAAAATTGATTGGGTCAAACCAATTAATTTAAACTGAAAAAGATCGATGAAAATTGGGTCAACTTATCAAAAAGAGTTTTAATTATCGGAGCTTAAAAGAAATTGAACTTGCTCACAAATCAAGAAAGAATCAAGTGGAGCTCAAACCAAAGGTCAACGCCCAAGTAAGAGCCAAAGGGGCGTCGCCTATGGGTGACCCAAGCCAA